CCAATTGCTCCTCTGATCATGGGCTCCCACCCTGTGGACAGCAAAGGGTAAGGGCAGCACTGAGCTGGGGGGGTGTCACAGCAGCACAGGGATTCCACTGGAAATGCCTGGGTCAGGGTGGGGATTGCTGAGAGCCCAGTGTTGGAAGGAATGATGAGTCTGACTCCGTGTTCTTAGAGGGCTAATTTAATATCTGATATGATATGATATGATATGATATAATGTAATGTAATATAATAATAATAATATAAGAATGATATAATGATATAATATAATAATAATAATATAACATGATATAACATTATATAACACAATATAATATAACATGATATTATATGATATCATGATATATGATATGATATGATATAATATAATAATATAACATAATATATCATGTTATATTGCATCATATTATATTATATTATAATGATATAATGTAACATAACATAATATATTATATTGCATTGTATTGCATTGTATTGTATTGCATTGTATTATGTTATTTTATATCATATCATATAATATTGTAATATGATATAATATTATATAATATTATATAATATTATATAACATGATATAATATAACACAATATGATATAATATGATATGATATCATGATATATGATATTATATAATTATATAATATTATGTTGTGTTATATTATATTGATATAATGTAACATAACATAATATATTGCGTTGCATTGTATTGTGTTATATTATATTATATCATATTATATAATATAATATTGTAATATAATATAATATTATATAATATGATATAATGATATTGTATAATATGATATAATATAATATCATGATATATGATATGATATAATTATATTATATTATATTATATTATATTATATTATATTATATTGGTATAATATAGCACAACATAATATATTGCATTGTATTGCATTATATTGCATTATATTATATTGCATTATATTATATTGCATTATATCATATCATATTATATGTGCTATACTAAAATTATACCAAAAAATAAAGAAAGGATACTTACAGAAGGCTCAACAAAATACTAATAAAAANCATCTCAAAACCATTCCTGTCCTGTTCCCTGCGGCAGCCTCGGCTCCCACCTGAGCGCCAACGGCACCGAGTGTTACATCACCTCTGACATGTTCTACGTGGAGGTGCAGCTGGACCCCACAGGGCTGCTCTGTGATGTCAAGGTGGCTCACCATGGAGAAAACCCCGTGGTGTGTATTCCTGGCAAAGAGCAACCCCTGTGCTTTTGGGATTCCTGTTTATCTCTCTTATTTTGAGCAGAGAAAATGGGTTTAGTTAACATTCCCTTAGACCCAGAGTTACACCCTTGCTGCTTGTTCTGGTGGGAAATAAAATCCTCCATGCAGTATTTTGTTCCAGTGGGATTTTCTAATCAATGGAATCACAACATGCAAAATCATTTGGGGAATTTACCTTAATTTTTCTGAGATTTTTATGTAAGTTTTGGGAATTTACCTTAATTTTTCTGAGAATTTTATGTAAGTTTTTGCTGTGTTTCCAAGGGAAGTTATTCTTACAAAGCTCAGATCTGGGAATGGAAAATTAAATTGGGAGAAAATGCCCTTCTGCATGTGGAGGAGAGTTTGAGCTTAGTGTGTGTTTGACCTCTCCTCAAAACCCATCTTTAATATCCCTATGTAAGCTCATAGATTTTCAACCTAAATCTTCCCAGCTTGAGAAGTTTATTTCAAATTAATAATTTAATAAAAAATATCATTACCTGGACTTGAGGAGCAGAAGTAGAACCACAGCAAGTGAAGCTCACAATATTTGAGAATTTCCCTGCTGTGATATTTCCCAGCTGCAGAGCTGCACAAAGCCTGCAGTGGGACATCCTTGTGTGTTCCTTCCTTTTCAGAGCTGCCCAGAGCTGGTGCAACATCTCAGGTGAGTGACAGGGGGTGGGTTGTTGTGTTTTCTCTTTGCTGGAATGATCTGATGCTGTTTGATGGCTGGAAACACAAAATTCTTCACAATTGCTCCTTCCCCACAAAGTCTTCACTTCTCCAGGGGATTTTCTGGCTTTGGCTCAGATCTTGTGATTCTGGCTGCTGTGCATCTTCAAAGCTGGATCATTTAAAGAACACATTTCCATGTAGCAAAATTCTTTTTTTTTTTTTAAGTGGCTCAGCATCTTTATTAATATCACTTCTTAAAATGAAACCTATCTGTTACTCATTTGAATACTTGGTAATTTCCACCTTTTTCCTTTCAGAGAGAAAAATTTTGATGAGTTTTCAAAGCATCTGAGGGGACTTGTGAACCTCTATAAGCTGCCAGGGGACAAGTAAGTCTAGGATATATTTATATCAACATTTATAAAATGAAATAATTTATTTATACACACATCTAAAATTAAAAAACGCCTCCAAGCTTGTAGGTTTGCACTGCACAGTTCTTTCAAGTTTACTTATATTTTTTTATTTTATTTTTTTTTCCCTAAGCAAACTTAAAACTAAAATGTACTTGGCTCTGCAGTCCTTGGAGTTGGATCTCCAAAAGATGGCTGGGATGTATTGGTAAGTTTTGTGGTTTTCTAAATATCTATAAATGCTTAGAGCTCTGAGAAATTCCTTTTTAACTGCAGGATTTGATTGGAGGAGATTCCAAAAGGGAAAATAAAAGTTTGTAACAGGTGGATTAAATTGTGGTTTAAATTGAGAAAGGTGTGGCCTTGTTTCACTGCTGAAGGTTCAGTGATACACCAGCCATGCTGCAGCTTTTGTTTTGCCTGTGCAGTTTGGATAAACTCCTCTTTGGGTCTCAAAAATGTGAATTTTGAGTTGAAATCAGTCTCAGCACATGAATTTTGGCTTCAGGTGTGGCTGTGGCTTGTGTCAGACTGTGAGTGCCTCTCTTGCAGGCAAGCCACCAATGCAAACCCCCTGGACAAGATCCTGCATGGCAGTGTTGGCTATCTCACCCCCAGGAGTGGAGGTACCTGTGATTCATCCTTAAAAAAATAAATTCATTTAAATAAATTTAAAAAATTTATTTGTTCCCAGCCTCAAGTATGGCTCACAGTTTCATATGAAGTGATGAAAATGAACAAAATAAAAGAGGGACAAAGTCTTTGGGTGGCTTTGTGGGGTGGGGAGGATCAGCATGGCTTCTCAGGATGCCTCCTGAGGAATTTCTCTCCCCAGGTCTCCTGATGAACCTCAAATATTACGTCTCCCCCTATGATTTATTTGAGGATGGCACTGGAGCCCCTGTGGTTTTGCATGAGAACAATGGTAGGTGAGCTGTGGATCTGCTTTTTCCTTGCAGTGACTCTCATTTTAACATAGGATTTGTTTTGTTACCTGTATAAAAACATAAAATCCCAAGAATGGTTTGGGTTTCAACCAAGCTCATCCACTTCCTCTATCCCCCACCCAGCCTCGTGCCTCTCCCATCATGAAAGTTTGTTTTTATTCATGGACATCTGGCTCTTGTTACAATGCCAAAACCAAGCTCCAGTTGTTAAGGAAAAAAAAAAGAGAGGGAAATGATCCAAAATCATAATTTGTTTTGCTTTGCAAAGAGCAAAGTATGAACTCACAAATGCATTTGGAAAATATTTTGAGGATGATGCAATTGGTCTACCTGGCAAGAGGAAAATGGGGATTTGGGTAGAACAGTTTGGCTGTTGTCCCTTTGCTCCTGAAGGTGAACA